CCTCCATCCCAAAATATTTGACGCCGTTGACTTTTTTAAAAATATTTGACCGTTCGTCTTATTTAAAAAATTTAAGTAATTGTTAATTCTTTTTCTACCATTTGATTTATTGTTAAATATACTTTTATGTATACATATAGTTTTACACATATCACAAAAGTTTTTGAATAAAACGAACGGTCAAACATATTTAAAAAAGTCAACAGTGTCAAACATTTAGGAAAGGAGGGAGTATGTGGGTATGGATATGGGGTTGGGTAATGAATGCCCAGTGGAATGCTTAAATTTGTAAGCATGAGGTATACCATGGTTTTAAAAACTGACGAGATTAAGATTACGTACGATGTTGTAAACTCTGTAAACTCTACCCAACACCCATCGCCTCGTACTGTACCACCGGCGTAAAGGACGGATGCCAAAACTTAGAGGCTAGAGAGTAGAGTAGACTAATTATTAAGCCAATAGAATTAACCTTTTTTTTCGTGAGATTTCATTTTCTTGGAAACTTTTATTTAACCTTTTCAAATAAAGTATGATGCCTTTTTAATCGTACGAAATATTCGCTACGAATGCCTCGATACATGTCGAGCAAAGTTGGCAGGAGCGCCTTAATCATCTCCAAAATTATCTTTTAACCTATCTCTCATCTAATTTATGTGAAATTCCAACGACTTATTTAAACGGTCATCGTTGTGTTTTTTTTTCTACTTCTCCATTTTACATATGTATTTCATATAAAATCATGTGTTTATATTTATTTCCGTGTTTAACATATGGTTTCATTTTAAGTAACTTGGAGTACAGCGAGCGAAGAACCCTGTAATTAAATTTTGGGGAAATTCCCAGTTGAATATATATTTCGTTTTAAGTATCTATCTATCACTTTCTTACTTTTACCATGTTTTTGTAAATATCATACGCTAAATTATTTCTCGTTCCGTTCGTCACTTGTCTTCACCCTTCGTCCACGGGTCGAGTCTACTTCATTTAGGTATTACTTCAATGGACCTTTATAGCTACTTGTAGTTAATTAATTAGTTTTCTTCATTAACTTATGGAGTAATATTTTTGCCTAGAGTTAATCAACATGAGTGACGGGTTTGTTAGCTTGGACGTGTACAACCGTACGTGTGATCGACACTACTATAAAGTTGGTTTTTCATGGCGATACCATTTTTTTTTTTTGCTGGCAGTTTTGTGCAAAAACCGCTAGCGAAATTGTAATGAAGGGTGAGGAGCTAAGAACCGCCAGCGAAAATAGATTTTCGCAGGCGGTTGAGCTATATAGTCCGCCAGCGAAAATAGTATATTTTCACTAGCGGCCCTTATAAACAACCGCCAGCAAAAATCATTTTTTCGCTGGCGGTAGTTAAGGAGACCCAACTGAGGAGAGAAATTCCTTATATAAAAATTTCGCACAGGCCGCCTCCCACTCCAACTCCCACCGGTCTTATCTCCTTCCTCCCTCCTCCTCCTACGCCCCTAGCCTCCTCCTCCTTCTCTGCGCTCCTTCCTCCTCCTCCACCTATCGACGTCGGCAACGAAGACCCCGGCGAACTGGCGACGACGACGGCGGCGACCACGACGGGCGGGAGGGGGGCGGCGCGGGTCTCGCGGATCCACCGCCGAGAGGGGCGCAGGCCGTCGATCCCCGGCCGGGAGGGGCGCAGGCGCGGTGGATCTGGCCGCCGGAGGGCCGTGGGCGGCGGATCGGGCCACCGGAGGGCCGCGGGCGGCAAATCGAGCCACCGGAGGGCCGCGGTCCTTCCCCTCCCCTCCAAGCGACGGTGGCTCCGATCTGCGTGGGCGGCGTGGTGGGCGACTCCATGTGCACGTCGATGACGGCGAGCACCTCCCCCCCCCCCCTCTCCGCGGCGTCGGGAGGTGGGCATGCGGCGACGGCGACGGGAGGCGGGTGTGCAGCTACAACAAGAGGCGGGCGTGCGGCGACAGCGATGGGAGGCGGGCGCAGAGCTCCGACGGGAGGAGGGCATGCGGCAACGGCGGCGGGAGGCGGGCCGCGGGCGCTTCTTCTCCTTCTCCTCCTCCCCCTCCCCCTCCCACAGTCTCGCCACCAACACCTCCTCGCCGGCGGCTGGGGTTCCCAGATTCAGTGTCTCCCCCATCGGATCGAGCTCGGCTGCTGCTCGGTCGGCGACGACGACCTCCTTCCTATCTCCTGCCCAGATCGATGGCGCTCCTCTAGCTGCTGTTGATGATGTTTTTTTCCATGTTCTACCATTGTTCAAAATGCTTGTATGCCTGTTCACTTGCATGTTAATTGAATCTAATGAACTCTCTGGGATGAGGATTTGAATCGTTTCCTGGAAATTTGGATGTGGATTTGAATCTAAACATGCTGCAAGTTGGGATTGTGATTGGGGATTTGGGACAAAGATTTGGGATTGTGATTATTTGGCACAATGATTTGGAATTTGTGATACTATTTTGGACCTGGATTTTCATTGTTTTTCGCTCAAAAAAGTTTTCGCTGGCGGGTCTCTTAATATTGCCACCAGAGAAAACCGATTTTCGTTGGTAGCCGTCTTACTGTTGCCGCCAGAGAAAACCCATTTTCGTTGGCGGCCTTCTTAGTATGGCCGCCAGCGAAAACTCATTTTCGCTGGCGGTTGGCTGTCCGCCTGTGCAAATGCATTATTTTTACTGGCCTTTTGTTACTGGCGGCACGCCAACGAAAACCTAATTTGGCCGCTAGCAAAAATCATTTTCCTAGTAGTGCGATGTATGTTAATTAGCACATAATTACATACTTAATTTTGCTAATACTGAGTTAGGAGAGGGACAAGCTAGAGATATGATGCGAGCCATGTACATGGAGAAAGCAACTCATGAAAATTTCAACTTCCAAATTAACTCCAATGCAAACAGAAAATGAATATGAAAAATAGTAGGATATCTTTTATACTCCATATAGCATCGTTTCTAAAAGTCAAGATTTTCGAACAAATGGAGGGAACATTACAAATTCCATTTCTAATCATGAACGCGTGTTTGAGAAAAGCTGGGAACAATCCAATAATTCAGTGTAGCACGTTGATCAACAGGATGACCAAACCGGAAGTCTAACGTTGCCAGTCTCGTGTCAACATTAGATGGTGTAGTGGTGTACTCTTCATAATAGCATTTTTCTTGGGAAATGTTTTCATATACACCATAACTAAAGGGCTCATTTAAAGAAAATCTTGACAACCAACAAATGCCTTACAATACATTTCTTTTATTGAAGAAATCTAGCTACGAATACACTTGCCTTTGGACCAATCTCCTTATTCCAAAATGCTCCCCTTCTCTCGCGTGAATAAATGGTTGTTACTTCAGCGCGTACGACGAAACATGTTATACTCCCCCTACCTAAATATATTGATTTTATTAAATATGTTTGACCATTCGTTTTATTCAAAAACTTTTGTGAAATATGTAAAACTATATGTATACATAAAAGTATATTTAACAATACATTAAATGATAGGAAAATAATTAATAATTACTTAAATTTTTTTAATAAGACAAACGGTCAAATATATTTTAAAAAGTCAATGGTATCAAATATTTAGGGTCGGGTGGAGTATTAGTTTTTCAAAAGTAGAGTAAGATGGAATTATTTACTCATGATCTAATTGCTTAGCTTTAACATATGATCACCAATTCTAAGATTAATGTGGAATTTGGATGATTAAAACTGACCGGATTAAGACTATATATTCCAAGTAACTACAACTATACGTTTGATAACTTATCCTATGCTATCTACGTATTGTATACGGAACTTATTAGTTAGATAAACAATTGTTTGAGTACTCATTGAATATCAAAGCTAAAAATAGAATTCAATAACCTGTAACAAATTATCTGTCTTTAACCGTTATTAATTCCTCCGAGCAGAAAAAGAGACGGTTTCTCCGATAACATGTAAAACCCCATAACATCTACTCCCTCCGTTCCATAATATAAGGCACAACTATTTTTTTTAAATGTTCCATAATATAAGGCATGCATGCATACATATAATTAATTAGGACCTTTTCTCCATTAAATTATTACTTTTTTAAATCCTCCATACTCAAGATCTCTAATTCTATTGGATGCATGCATTATATTTATTAGAGTGATCCAAACTAGGAGATGATAATAATTGTTTCTTGGTCTTTAGGTTAAGGGTGGTTGTGCTTTATATTTTGGAATGGATGGAGTATCTATTTAGTAATTGCTTTAACCAACACAACAACGCTTACCTCCTCCCATTCGAGTCTCCTGTGTCACTCAACGCGCGTCATTGATGTAAAAGGTCGTTTTTTAATGAGTTTGTGACAACTGCAGCTTTAATTCTTCAAGCAGTTGAGTTTTTTTTATCCTGATTTTGAGAAGTTATAGTTGTAAAATTCAGAAAACGAACTCAAGACATCTAGATTCTCAGAAGCTCATATAAAGTGTTGTTTAGAGGAGTTTCTAGCTGCTATATCTTCTCATAAATCCCCATCTCCACTAAATAGTTTTGATTCTTAGAATCTATAGTTACATAGAATTCATAGAATGAATTAGAAGCTTAGAAACTGAAAAATTCATCTTCTCATTCTAAAAGTTGATTACCAACTATCCGTTTCTCATAATCTTAGGAAGTGTTTATATGCAGGGCTGTAAAGTTTTAGCGTGTCACATCGGGTATTATATAGGGTGTCGTATGGGGCGTTCGGACACTAATAAAAAACTAACATCAGTAAACCACGAGATGAATTTATTAAGCCTAATTAATCCGTCACTGGTATATGTTTACTGCAGCATCACATTGTCAAATTACGGAGCAATTATGTTTAAAAGATTCGTCTTGCAAATTAATCATAATTTGTACAATTAGTTATTTTTTAGCCTAGTAGTGCTTAATAATTCATACTGGTGTTCAAACGTTCGATGTGACAGGGTGAAAAATTTTAGAGTGGGATCACCTTAATAAGCTTTAAAAGCGTGCGTGTGGTTGTAGAGCTCACAATTCACATGTGCTGCCATTGCGGAGTTGCGGTGTTTGGTGTTCCACCCGCCGCAGCTCACCACCGCTAGCGCCAGCCTCCCAACACACAACGGTCAGGTCCCCCGATCCCCGTTAAGTCCAATCCCCGACAGGTATTAGTACCACCCCGCATCTCCCCCTCCTCCACTCGAAACGGCTACTTCCTCCCCTTCCTCCCCCTCCACCACCTTCTAGAACCTTCCACGATGCCGCCGCCGCCGCGGAAGCGCCTCGGCCGCGCGGCCCTGCTCCTCGCCGCCGCCGCCTACCTCGCCTTCCTCCTCCTCTTCGAGCTCCCCTCCCTCGACCTCTTCCCCTCCTCCGACGCCGCGGCGGGCGCGGCGATGCCCACCCACCGCCCACGCCGCCGCGAGCTCGAGGCCTCGTCGTCGTCTTCGGCGTTCGCTTCCCCCGTCCTCCGCCGCCCCGCCACGGCGGTGTCTCCCGCGCCGGCTTCTGCTGCTGCCGCGGCGGCTGGGGCGCTCCCGATCTTCTCGTCGCTGCTCCTCCTCCCCCGGCCCAACGCGACGGCCACCCCGTTCGACGGGACCGCCGCGGAGGCGTTCGCCGCGGCGAGGCCGCACCTCGACCACCTCAGGACTGCTGCTGCTGCGGCGGCGGAGGAAGCTTCGTCGTCGTCGACGGCGCCGACGTGCCCGACCTCGATCTCGGTGCACGCGGACGGGTTGCCCGGGGACGGGGTGAGGACGGTGGAGCTGCCGTGCGGGCTCGCGGTGGGGTCGCACGTGACGGTGGTGGCGCGGCCGAGGGCGGCGCGGCCGGAGTACGACCCGAAGATCGCCGAGAGGAAGTCCGGGCAGGAGCCGCTCATGGTGTCGCAGTTCATGGTGGAGCTGGTCGGGACCAAGGCCGTGGACGGGGAGGCCCCGCCCAGGATACTCCACTTCAACCCCAGGATCCGCGGCGACTACTCCGGCAAGCCGGTCATCGAGATGAACAGCTGCTACCGGATGCAGTGGGGGCAGTCGCAGCGCTGCGAGGGCTACGCCTCCCGCCCTGCCGACGAGACAGGTGAGCTCGCAGCGCGGAGATCGAGCTCTTCTGATTCATTCCATTTTACTAATTTCATTCGGTTCGATTTGATTTGATTTGATTTGATTGGATTGGATTCGGATTTGCTTCAATCAGATCGTCTGGTGGTGTGATTCCATGATTGCATTCCGTTAGTTTAGAATCGGCAAATTCGATGTTGATGATCTGGAGTTAGGTGTGAAGGGGGCGGTTTGTTAGTTAGGAAAAATTAGAGGCGTCAACTTCAGTGGTCTAAATTGCGTGGAATAGCTTTGCTTGGTGGAAATTGGCCAGAAAGGTTCAGCCTTTGGCAAGAAATTTCTAGAGAAGGGCTGGGTTTGTTTACCAATTTCTGGAGAATATTTTGATGGTGATTGTGTTTGACCTGAAACCGTGTCTGTTGCCTGAATGTCGAGTTTGACTTGATAACGTGCTGCGGTGTCGGTGGGAAGTGTTAACTTATTATTCTTCTCTTTTTCTTCCTCAATTAGAGGGAGCTCAACGGGTTGATTGCTTAGTTTGGCTTGTAATAGCCTAAACGTCAAATTGGTTGCAATTAATCTAATTTAGCAAATATTGTGGGAGTGTAGAAGCTTCCAACTTGCAAGCATGCTTGATAACAGTAGGTCTATTTTTTGAATGAGCTATACCAGAGTTTGTTCTAAAAAAAGAGAGCTATACGAGAGTTGCAGCGAGCATCTTAAAGCTTGCAGCATCTCATAACTGGGCATTCTTCAAGACAAAGTTGGAACATCATTTTTTGCAGCAGATCTAGTTTCTTGTGATACAGGAAAAAGACTTGTACTTACAATTAAAGTTACACTGAAGATCTCTTCTACTTTAAGAGTGTAGCGACTTTGCTTCATGGTGATGTCTTTGGTCTTTCAGTTGATGGCCAACTTAAGTGTGAGAAATGGATTCGTGACGACGACAAGAAGTCTGAGGAATCGAAGATGAAGTGGTGGGTAAAGCGTCTAATTGGTAGGCCAAAGGATGTGCACATCAGTTGGCCATACCCCTTCGCAGAAGGCAAGCTGTTTGTTTTGACTCTAACAGCTGGTTTGGAAGGTTACCATGTCAATGTTGATGGGCGGCATGTTACTTCCTTTCCTTATCGCACTGTAGGTTTTTCTTAAAGCATCAAAAAGTCATTCAGTTGCATGAGTTCTTGAGCACCATCCTGAGATCTCCATAACTAATTTTGCCCAACTAATGGTCTCTGCAGGGTTACACTCTTGAGGATGCAACCGGCTTATCTCTGAATGGAGACATCGATATCGAATCCATTTTTGCTAGTTCCCTGCCCAATTCGCATCCTAGTTTTGCCCCAGAGAGATACCTTGAAATGTCTGAACAGTGGAGGGCACCACCACTACCAACTGAGCCTGTTGAGCTTTTTATTGGTATTCTTTCAGCAGCCAGCCATTTTGCTGAGCGGATGGCTGTACGGAAGTCGTGGATGATGTATACAAGGAAATCGACTAATATAGTAGCTCGGTTCTTTGTGGCTCTGGTAACTATCGATTGACTTAATGGTTTTACTACTCTTTTGAGTAAATTCATAATCTAACCAATTAAAGTAAATTTACAGAATGGGAAAAAGGAGGTTAATGCAGAGCTGAAAAGGGAAGCAGAGTTCTTTCAAGACATTGTTATAGTTCCTTTCATGGATAGCTATGACCTTGTTGTTTTGAAGACCATTGCTATTGCTGAGTATGGGGTAAGTGAATTGAACATGTAGGACTGTTTTGTTATTAGACATTAGCTGCTATCCCATCTCACATGCTTCTCTGCGTTCCAATTTATCCATATTTATGCTCATTTAATTTGGTCTGTTTATGCAGGTGCGAGTCATACCCGCAAAATACATCATGAAATGTGATGATGATACATTTGTTAGAATTGACTCAGTACTGGATCAAGTGAAGAAAGTTCGAAGTGATAAGAGTGTGTACGTAGGAAGCATGAACTACTTCCATAGGCCACTAAGATCTGGCAAGTGGGCTGTAACTTATGAGGTAAATTGTTCTTTCCCTTATTTTAAAGCAACTACTATGAATATCACATTAGACAAGTGCAACTTGAAAGGATATTGTGTTGTGAAACATGCAATACCCTATTTGCCTTGCAGTTGTGTTTTCATATGCTTGCTAGCCAATCATTAGATATTCACCAACTAGCACATGTTGTTCTTATTTTCTCTTCTTCTTTTGATGAAATCGTCGACATGCATACCATTGTTCATGTTTCCCCTTTTATATGACTATGAACCATTAGCCGTGCCACTAAATTATATTCAAATATATAGTATCTTCACATATTTAAAATCCATGTTAGCTTGGCCCTTTGAACAAGGCAAACATGCCGGTTGTTCAAATTGTACATATCTCATGAAAAAGCTGGCGCTCAATCTTCTGCACTGTCCTTAGCTGTCAGCTTTTAGCATAAGAAATGGATGAGACCTCTTCTTGTCATCATATTGGATAGCTTCTTTTATTTTTGCAATAGTAATATTCTAATGTTGCAATGATAACTCCTCTTGGCAGGCATCATATTAGATAGTTTTTTTTTTTGGCAATTGTAATATTCTAATGTTGCAATTCTGATTCTATTTTCAGGAATGGCCAGAGGAGGCATATCCAAATTATGCCAATGGACCTGGCTATGTAATTTCAGCCGATATTGCACGCTACATTGTATCTGAATTTGACAATCAGACACTTCGGGTAAGCATCAACTGGACCTAGTATGTCCTACCGTACATCCTGCTGTAACTTGAACTAAACTGTAGTGTATTTCTGTTTCAGCTATTTAAGATGGAAGATGTAAACATGGGCATGTGGGTCGAGAAGTTCAACAACACGCTTCGGCCGGTCGAATACCGGCACGATGTCAGGTTCTACCAGTCTGGCTGCTTCGACGGCTACTTCACGGCTCACTATCAGTCCCCTCAGCACATGATCTGCCTCTGGAGAAAACTGCAGTCCGGAAGCTCACGGTGCTGCAACGTGAGATGACAATGGCAGCAAAAATTAGCCGTATTTTGGAGCAAATAGAGACGATGTTAACTCGTAAGCTCAGCTCGCTGTTGGAACACCAGAAAATCATCAGCATTCAGCGATGCTGACGGTTCGGAGGAGCGCTCATCTTCTGGACTGGACCTGATATATGATTCGTTCATTCTTTTGGTCGGTGGCTCCGTTTCAAGCTGCTGATTTCTGACACCTGATCAATGATGTTCTTGCCTTCTTGGGGATTCTTTCGCCTGTTGATATTTATACTCGCGTCAAATTTATTTGACCTAGGAATTTTTGAGGCTGGTGGTGGTGGTGGTGGCGGCGGTGGTATGCCGGCGGCATGTTTTGTGTATAAAAAGGATTTTATGAGTTTTACTGTTTGTGAGTATATATTCGGTGGACTCCTATTGGCTGACACTCTTACCATTACTGTTTTTATGAGTTATTTTTAGCTGGGGAGTGTTATTAGAGAGATCCTTTTGAACGGGCAGTACATTCGTGAGGGAATTCAATATATAAAAATATAATTTATGCTTAAAATACTCTTAATAATAAAATAAATCATGACAGAATAAATCATATACATGTAATTTATTTAAATATGATGAATGGTAAAACTTAATTAAAAAAAATCAATGGCATTAAACATTTAAGAGATGAGGGAGATGAGGGAGTATGTTTGATGAATGTAGTCCCTATGCTTAATTCATTGCTATGTCAAAATACGTCCAATTTTTTTTATTATGACAGCAAGTTGTAACCCTTTCTATTATTTAATAAAGAGTAAATTGCACTTATGGTACAACAACTTGACATGTGAGTGTGATATAGTAGAGAATTGAATGTCTGGGTGCAACAACTTAACAAGTAGCGCGTTATAGCATAAGAACTTTGACAATTTAGTATTTTGGTGCATCAACTTGGCTAAGTATATGCTAGGTAAATTTTTTTCACCATGTCAATATGCTATGTAATCCTACGGATATTATCATATTACCTTATAATATTGAATTTAATCTTTAAGAATTATACTGCACATACAATTTACATCCAATTACCTTTTAATTTTTTTTTATTTTCTTCACCTTCTCAAATATCAATCGAAATATAATAATTTCTACATCAGTTTAATTGACTTTTAGGAAAAAAAATATAAATATGCTTATACAAATACACTACTGTATATTGTCAAAGTACTTAAAAATTGAATCTATATAAAAAATGCTCTAAATAATTAAGTTGCCGCATAACTTGTTAATTTATTGTATCAAAATTATAGCTATCTTGCAAGTTGTCGTATTTATATGATCACTTATAAAGTTATTGTACTAAATTACATCTACATATCAAGTTTTTGCACTAGAACACTCATTTCTTAAGTTTTTGCACTAAATTGCACCCACCTGCTAAGTTGATGTACCGTGGGTACAATTTACTCTAAAGAATAAATCTATTCTGTTTCGATAAAAAGAAACTCCTATTCTGAGTTGTTTCAGAATTCTGTTTGTTGATATCAATTGAATCTTTTTATATTTTATTCTCTCCCCAAAATTTTTTTTTGTATAGTTTAGCCGAATTTAACTTCAGTGGAATGGATTTTCCAAAAAGGTTCAACGGAAGGGAGTGAAAAATAACGAAGCAGCACGCATGGTATCATATGATGAGTTGCACTACTCTTCTCAGTTCAGACTTCGGACTGCATATAACATGGACTGGGCTGGACAACATACTCGGCTTGGTAGCTCACTTGGCTTGTGAACAGCTCGGCTCGTTGAGAAATGCTAACAAGCTGAGCAAGGATTGATTTTTTTTATTTTAAATTTTATTTATTAAAATATTAAAAACACAAATTTTTTAAAAAAGGTTTACAAATCTACACCCTAACTCTCCTTGAGAGGGCTTTTTTAAAAACGCACTTCCAGAGAGCATTTTTTATAACGTGCACACATGCATTGGTGTGGTCCAACGGTTGCGTAAATATTTTACAGATGACCCTTGCAACTCTCTAGGAGGGCGGCAAGGGGTCCGCCTGTAAATGGCCAACCACGATTGTTTTGCAGGTGGCTCTCTTTATAACCCTTTGGGAGGGCAGCACCGCGGCAAGGAGGTTGCCTGCAAAATGACCGGCGACCCTCCATGTGGCCATTAGAATACACTAACGGACGTGTGCCACGTCACAAAAACATCCTCAGGAAGGGTGGCATTAGGGGTGTAGATTTGTAAAACTTTTAAAAAATATATTTTAAAAATATTTTAATAAATAAATTTAAAAATTTAAAATTCAGATTTAGCTCGGTGGCTATAACGAGCTAGCTCGCAAACTGTTGACGAGCCCAATGAGCCAGAGAAACATTAGGGGAATAAGTTCACTTTCGGCCTCTCTATTTGTCGCCCAGTTCGATTTTCATCCCTAGACCACAAAATTGGGTACGACCCGTCCCCCAACTTACGAAAACCGGGCAAACGAGATCCCTCGGCGGTTTTGGCTGACGTGGCGCCTATGTGGCTTGTTTGACTAGGTCTCCATCCCACGTGGCATTGATGTGGCGCTTACGTGGCAATTATATCTCGAAAAAATAATAAAAACCGTGGGCCCACCGGTCAGCTACACACAGAAGAATAATTTAAAAATAGTGGGGCCCACGTGGGCCCACATGTCAGCGACAAAAAAATAAATATGGGCCCCACAGATCATCCCACGTGGCGGGATCTCCGCGGGCGCACCACCCCGCTCCAGCACCAGCACGCGGCCGCCGCCAGGACCGGCCAGCGTTGCGGCGAGCGGGCACCCGCCATAGGGGAGCCATTGGGGAGCTGGAGTGGGCACCCGCCGTGCTGCCCCCTGAGGAGTGGACCAACCTCACCGCCGCTGTCGCGCACGAGGGCTCCGGCTTCTACGTCCTCGCCGTCCTCCGCCGTGAGCGCCGCGGCGGTCGCTCCTGCCGTTCTCTGCCATGAGCGCACGCGACGATGGTGGTGGAGGTGGGTTACGGTGGAGGGTGTGTGCCGCTCCCTCCTCTCCCGCCGGCGCCGCTCCCTCCTCTCCCACCACTGACGCCGCCGCACGTCGCTCCCTCTTCTCCCGCCGGCGGCCATCGGGGAGAAGGGCGGCGGACGGCTAGGCGAGCTCCCTAGCCTACCGGTGAGCGCGCGTGTGCCGTTCCTTTTTCTCCTGCTGCTAGCTATCAGGGAGGAGGGCGGCGGACAGCTAAGCGAGCTCCCTGGCCTACCGGCAAGCACGTGGAAGAGAGAGATGGCTGGCGGCCACTCTTCTCCATTTCTACCGCCGTCGTTGTCGCCGGCCGCATCCCCTCCCCCCAACGCAAGAAAGATGAAGAGGGGAGAAGGGAGAGAGGAAGCAGAAGAGGAGGGGTGAGTTAGACTGACATGTGGGCCCACATGGGCCCCGCTATTTTTAAATTATTCTTTTGTGGGTAGCTGACAGGTGGGCCCACAGTTTTTATTATTTTTTCGAGATATAATTGCCATGTAAGCGCCACGTCAATGCCACCTGGGACGGAGAACTGTTCAAACAAGCCACGTAGGCGACACGTCAGCCAAAACCATCGAGGGACCTCGTTTGCCCGATTTTCATAAGTTGGGGGACGGGTCGTACTTGGTTTTACGGTCAAGAGACGAAAATCAGAGTAGGCGACAAATAAAGGAACCCAAAGTGAACTTATTCCAACAGTAGGAGTCCAGGACCAGGGCCCAAGCAAGAAAAGCCCATTAGTGAGGTGGAGTCAGGTCAGCCGAGCAGCCCCTTTCAAATCAGCTTTGTTTGTCCTTATGCCTTTGATATTTATATACTTGTATTTAATGAACTAATGCTAATTTTTAAACTCTTTCTATAGGAGGTAGATGATGAAAATCATTGAGTTTGTGGAGTTCCCACATTGTGTTGTGGCAAGCAGCTAGTAATTCTGTGATGGTCTTGATGCTGAGGAGGATGGTGTTGTCTTCAACTCTTGGTGTTGCTTGATGGAAGGGAGATGTTACTTGCTTGTTTTGGTGTTGAAGTTGGCAACTTGGCATGTAACTTGTGTGATTCTATGATGGTCTGATGGACCTGAAGTTCTGGATTGTAATATAGTACTATCTAATCTAGTTGCATGGCAACTTGCATTGTGGCATATTTGCATGGACCATGGACATGTTATTATGTTAACCATGGACTTGAAGTTTTCCCTATTACATATTGGATGGACATGTAATCTGCGCACAAATGTTGATATGGCTGACGAGCTAAAGGAGCTGGCTGCTGAGCCGAGCCGAGCTAACTCGATATCCACCACCCCTATATATGATCAAATGCATGCTAACTGCTAATGACTGTTTGAGTGGTACATATTCAGTTAAGCGCTCATTCTGTTGAGGGAATAGTAACATTTTTCTAATATTAATCAATTAGTAACGTCCAATTAAGCACAGCAGCGTAGAATTGTTGATAAGGAAACTCTGGTTTTGTTTTTGTGTGTGTAGGTGGGTACGGAGTAACTAATAAATGGAGGCCCAAATGATCCATTTGATGGATTGAGATCTGCCTGTAGCCTACCATTTCAAGCCCATTGCACGTGAGAGTTCTGACCACTTAATTGTTTGATTTCTATCCTCATACGACGCCTCCAACTGAAAGTAAAAGTTTACTTCACAAATTGTGCCAGCCATTTGGTTCATCTCCTCCTGCGTGGCAACCACAAATATGCAAGCCTCCTTCGTCACCGACAGTACATCTTCAGAGAGAATCTGAGTTTTCATGGTTTTGTCATGGAAGCCTCAACCTCCAAGCGGAGGCCCTTTTGAGTATACTTCCTTGCGTTTTCATCTGCAGTTACTCTTGGTTTTTTCGTCACCATTGCAGCCATGGATCTAGCTTGCTATCTTGTGGAGAAGAGAAGGACTTGATTGAATTTTCTAGTTTCTTAGGAGTCCTTCCTAGCAAATTTCAGGAGCTTATGTTAATTTGGCTATCTTCGTGGGGCCCTTTTGCAAAACTGGTTGTACTTGCAATTGATTTTCCGCTGGGGATAAGTCATGTGATATGTACTTAGTTATCTATAATCAATAAAATGCATGAGTTTTTTTTTAAAAAAAATGTTCTCCTTAATAGTTAAAAAGTTAAACGGTTCATTCTGCCTCCTTCGTGATTTTCTACGCTGATTTTATCTTACATGATATCGTTGGCTTTATCCACTTTTCATGGACAGAGCAGAAATATAAGGCCCATCTATTAATGAGCCCTTCGTTCTCTTCCATTTCCATTTCCATCTCCCTCTCTTCTCCCTCCAGCAAAATCCTGCTAATACCGACCTCCACCACCGCATCGGGGCTAGAGACAAGGCCGACCGTTGGCTTACGACGTGCACCCATGGCTCCTTAGCTCACGTAGCGGTGGGACACAAGAGCAAGACAAGTACATTGACCTCGTCCACCCACATATGGACTCAACGACGTTGAACTCACGAAGCGATCTTGGCGTTGTCTGCCACCTCTCCTTCTCGAGCTCTGGCAGATCGATGTTGTGAGAGAGGAGTGAGGATGAGGGAGAGCATGATACGTGGGCCAATACGATATTTTTAATTTTGCTAGGAGACTTAGGCTTTAGTTCTTTTTTCCAACTCGAAACTTCAACTTCCTCAATTTCCGTTAGCACGCTTTTTAAACTGTTAAATACTCCCTCCATTTCAAATTGATCATCATATAATTTTTTTGAAAATATTCCTAAATGATCATAATATTTGTGTTCACTCATTAAGTCTATTCGTTATTTGTGCATTGGGGTAAATGAGCATTGATGTATACATCCATACACACAAGTGTTTTGATTTGCTATTGGCTAAGAAATAGTGGGGATTGTGCATGTATCAAGTTTATTGCTAAAGTAAATGTAGCATGAGAGAGTTATTATATTTTTTTGGTCTTGTGCGCTCATGTAATATGAAGATCAATTAGGAATGGAGGGAGTAATGTGTTTTTTTGCAAAAAATTTCCATATAGAAATTATTTAAAAATCAAATAAATTTATTTTTCATGTTTATAATAATTACTCCCTCCGTCCCATAATATAAGAGATTTTGAGTTTTTGCTTTTAACGTTTGACCACTCGTCTTATTCAAAATTTTTTGAAATTATTATTTATTTTATTTGTGACTTACTTTATTATCTACAGTATTTAAAGCATAACTTTTTGTTTTTTACATTTGCAAAAAAAAAATTGAATAAGACGAGTGGTCAAACGTTGCAAGCAAAAACTTAAAATCCCTTATATTGTGGGACGGAGGGAGTAATACTTTATACTAATGAGCTTTCTCGTTCTGTGCTCGCTAAACATCTCTCTCCAAAAGGTGAGAACGAATGCAACCATATGTGGTCATATATACTTTTTATTTTTTAAAGTAAATTTCACAAAACTATAGAAATATTAACCAAATTATCTCAAAACTATATATTTAAAATATTGTATCACAAAACTAAGTTTTTTTTAACATTAAATATACCACAAAACTATAAATTTAGTAACAAAGTTATCACAAAACTATGGGTTTAGCACTAATTTAATTAGAAAAATTGGACGTTTATAACTCAATCATACTATTAGTGCTAAACATTTAAACCCTAAAGATGTGATTTTTATGATAATTTTATTATTAAATCTTTAGTTTTGTGATACTTAGCCTTAAATTTGTAGTCTTGTGATAAATCTATTGTTAAATATGTAGTTTTATAATACATCAACTTAAATATATAGTTTTGTGATAATTTGATCAAAGTATTCGTAGTTTTGTGAAATTTACTTTTTTTTTTAGCTAGAATGCCACATAGCCGTTACGTTACATAAAAGACCAGATTAAAGTGTCACTTAGATATCACATATAACAAAACCACCATCTCAAAAGTATACAAGGAGATAAATTAATCCGATTTTACCAGTTGTGGAAGCCTTTATAGCCGATAGTACGGTTTGTGAACGTGGATCAAACTAACCACATAGTTTAAGGACGCAAAATAAACCTTTTCCAACGGGAAACTCTCTGATACATCGATGGAACACGCAGTTGAGACTTCAGGGACATATGAAGGAGTTCACCGGAGGTCCCTCAACTTAACAACGAGATTTTTTTAAAGATCCCTTAAACATAAAATCAGAAATGTGTACCCCTAAACTCACACAAACCATGCACTCAAGATTCTATGGTAGTATATATGGGTGGTTTCGCTGACGTGGCTCCTAGTCAGCAAAAAAATTAAAGAGTAAATTGCATCTCCGGTACACGAACTTGTTAGGTGAGTGCAATTCAGTGTACAAACTTGTAAAATGCTCGTTTTGGTACATGAACTTGTCTGCTGCGTGCGGAGGAAGGCGAAAAGGATACTACATAGCTAATCTTATTGATTTAGGGGTTGATTAGGATACTAGTAAACATATATCTGAGAAGGTTGATATTGACATACACCTCTTCAATGAAAAATAGAATAGGATATAGTGATAGTATAAAAAGTTTAAAAAAACTGAGCAATAATATAAGGGTTAGAAATGTATGAAAGTCATCATTTCCATGATAAAGGATACAATTGAGACCAAAATTATAAATATTGCATGTCTTATGCATACTCACTACACGTATGCATGTCACATCCTAATCAACATCAGCTTATTTTGGTCCTTGTTCGCATGAACTAGACAAGTTCATGTAATGAAACAAGTATTTTATAAATTTATGTACTAAATTGCACCTACCTAACAAATTTGTGTACCACCAATGCAATTTACTCAAAATTAAAAAAAGTACATAACGCCCACATGTCAGCTGCACATATTTTTTTTCTTCTCTTTTCTTCTCTTTTCTCTCTTCTCTCTTCTCTTCTTCAAGCCGGCGGTGGGCGAGCGCCGCGGCGGAGCGCTGCTGCAGAGCAGCAGGGAGCGAGTGCGGCAGCGAAGCGGTGGCGGGCTGCGGGCGGAGCACACGGCGGACGAGCGCGACGGCGGCGAGGAGGCTCGCACGACGACATCGGGCGTCACTGAGATGCGCGCAGCTATGGAGTCGGCAAGCTCGTCGGCTGGTGCGGCCTTCCCGCGGCAGATCGGGCACGAGGCGTGGGACGAGAGCCACATGTCGATGCACTCCTGGTGGAGCTGCCTCACCATCTCCCCCTCGTCGACAGCGCTGAGGCAAACCGCGCACTCGACCGACGCCGCCGTGTCCGAGATCTCGCCGTTGTCATGGGCTCGCACGTACGGGAACGACGGGAGGCACGCGATGGTGGCGGCGTCTAGGCCGAACCTCGGCGGCGTCGGCCGCTGCTGCTCCTGCTCCATGACAAGTGGACGATCACGCCGACGACGGGCAATGCGGAGAGCTCGAGAGCAGATGAAGATGGTGATGAGGAAGAAGCTCAGGGCGAATGACACGGCCAAGGCGCCGAACAACATCGTGGTGCTGTAGCATCCGGAGGCGCCCGCCGCCGAGCTCACCTGCTGTCCGCTCCGCCCGTAGCCCACCGCCGCATCACTGTCGCACTTGTCCACTGCTACTCTGCCGCCGCGGCGCTCGCCCGCCGCCGGCCTGAAGAAGAGAAGAGAGAAGAGAGAAAAGAGAAGAAAAAAATAGGTGCAGCTGATATGTGGGCCCCATATATTTTTTTTAATTCTTTTTGCTAACTAGATTCCACGTCAGCAAAACCACACATATATACTGCCATAGGACCTTGAGTGCACAGTTTGTGTGAGTTTAAGGGTACAAATTTTTGGTTTTATGGTTAATGGACCTCAAAAAATCTCGTTGTTAAGTTGAGGGACCTCCGGTGAACTTATTCCACATATAAATACATTCCATAACATGCATATGACCTTCCACAATACTTCAAATCTAGGCATTTCTTTCGATTGAAGAAATTTTAAAGGATTTTCCTTAGGAAATAAACTAATTTATATCAAATTTATGTAAAATTCATGCGGTTTAAAGGATTTGAAAATGGAGCTCTCAACTCAAATAAACAAACCATTTTCTAAAGAAAAAAAGAAAAAAAATGAGCATATGAACAAACTCATGCAAAATTGATGCTCTTAACACAAATTAGACAATCGCAAAAAAAGAAAAACACACAAATTAGGCGATCTACTCCGGTCATCAGGTCAATGCCCCTGATGCCAACGCAAAGTCCACGAACCAGTTAAAATCCACAAATTTCACTGCCTCCATGTCAGTAGAAAAAAAGGATAAAAGAAAGCTTCGAGTCAACTCCCTTTATCCTGCTTTGTTTCCTTAAGTTTCCGCCATGCGAGCCTAAAACCATACGCATATGTATATAACCTTCCAACCTAAATTCAAATCTAGATCTTCGGCCGAGTTTAGTTCCAAACTTTTTCTTCAAACTTCCAGCTTTTTCATCACATCAAAACTTTCTTACACACACAAACTTTCAACTTTTCCATTACATCGTTTCAATTTCAACCAAACTTCTAATTTTAGCGTGAACTAGACACACCCTTCTTTAGATTGGAGAAACTTTATGGGACTTTCGAACAAATTAGACTAATTTATATGAAATTTATGTAAAATTCATGCATTTTAAAGGAGGAAAAAAGTCAGCATAGGAACAAACTCATGTAAAATCGATACTCCTAACACAAATTAGACAATCTACTCCGGTCAACGCATGTCAGTAGAAAGAGGATTAAAAGCTTGGAGTCAACCCCCTTTACCCCGCCCGTTTCCTCTTGTTTCCGCCATGCCGTGGGCTCAAACCGCCGGCGCCGCCGCGCGCCGGCGACCAAAACCACCGGAAAAAGAAAGTCAGAAAAAAAAAGTAAGGCTCAAATCCACCGTCGCCGCGCGCCACCACCCCGCGGGCGCCTCCGTCTCCGGATTTCACCCGGTATAAATCTATGACCGAGCCGACGCGAGCTTTCTTGCGTGTTGTAGCTGGAGTGTTCGAAGGAATTACTGGCTGGCACGCACGCGCGCACGGGCATGGTGGCGGTGGTGATGATGGCGATGAGGAAGAGGATGCGCGGCGCGCTGCTGGCGCTCGCGCTGCTGCTCACCGCGACGGCCGTCGTGCCGCTGCTCCTCCTCGGAGAGGCCGGGGACGACGGCGTCGGGGCCGTCGCCGCCGCGCCGCCGTTCAACGCGTCCCGCGTCAGGGCGGTGTCGTGGAGGCCCAGGGTCTTCGTCTACAAGGGGTTCCTCTCCGACGACGAGTGCGACCACCTCGTCAAGCTGGTCAGCACCTGCTGCAATCATAGATGCCACCACCATGGCTGAATCCTATCTGCGTCTCGATTGATTGGTGTGTGTGGTTGGAGCAGGGGAAGAGGAAGATGCAGAGGTCGATGGTGGCGGACAACAAGTCCGGCAAGAGCGTCATGAGCGAGGTGCGGACCAGCTCCGGCATGTTCCTCGACAAGCGCCAGGTACTACATTTTTGGCTATATATCTGGACGCCATAAATGCTTATATTTTAGGACAAAGGCAATAGTATGTCTTTTGCTACAAATGACAATGATCTTTTAGATATTGTGTTGTACCATGTTCATATAGTTTGTGGGAAATTAGTATTTTTGGTGGCCACAAATTGCCATATTAATTGGGTTACAAACAATTTTTGAAAAGAATTTAAAATGGTTGCACAATTGCAGCGAAAACCGATAATGCATTTGTATTGTGGGGAGACAAGTCTGCCAGATTAACAGCTACAGTTGCAGTGAATTGATTTCTAGTTAATCTTCACGAGTTACTACTGCTTAAAAGATAGTATTTGAACTGAACAAAAAACTATTTTTTTTGTGTGAAATTCACTGTTAAATGGACCTCATCATTGCAACTAGGTTCTGACTTGCTGACATCTCTCCTGCACACAACGGTCCATTTCCCTGCATTTCTTCTCCAACTTTTGTCTCTAAATTCATCCCATCCAATCGCAATTACTGGCAACTGTTCAGATCAACATGTTCACAGGATCAATGCAATTCCTGTTGCGATGCAATGCCGCAATTACTGAACACATTTAGATCACCATCAGTGGTCTGCTGTACTAATACTGAACCTGGGTATCCGGCAACCGGTGAACATACAGGCCGGCGTCAGTTACTGGACCACTGGCTCTCCTCTGAGCAGCAGTTACTAAGGATGCAGATATCAGTAGCATCCATCCATCCATCTATTGCTGCAGGAACTGATACTTTCTGGCTTAGCTAGCATTAGCAATTGGAATAGTAGGGACCAGATTTGGTAGTAACAGTAGTTAGGAGATTTGGTAATAACAATGGTTTGATATGCAGTAATTTGTTTTGTTGCTTGCTCTCGTACTTTCTAATGGATTCTGTCATTCTGGGGTGTAATGTAATGGAAATGCGTTTCTTGTTTTGTGAAGGATCCAGTGGTGAGCAGGATTGAAAAAAGAATTGCAGCATGGACCTTTCTTCCTGAAGGTAACTCTTCTGGGCTTCCTCAGATTGTCTCATTGTTTGGTTCTATTGATTGTTCAAGTAGCAAGGTTTTCCAAGTTAATGTTACTGCTATTTTTTTTCATCAGAAAATGCTGAGAACATTCAGATACTCCGATACGAGCATGGGCAGAAGTATGAGCCGCACTTTGATTATTTCCATGACAAGGTCAATCAAGCACTGGGAGGCCACCGTTACGCGACGGTGCTCATGTATTTGTCCACTGTCGAGAAGGGAGGCGAGACTGTGTTCCCCAATGCTGAGGTAAATTTCAAATATCACGTCCTTCACTTTTCCAAATCCAAATGATGTATGAGTTTTTGTAACATTGCTGGTGCTAATCAATTTAGGGGTGGGAAAATCAGCCCAAGGATGACACTTTCTCTGAATGTGCACAAAAAGGATTGGCAGGTAATGGTTACCTTTTGAAGTGTTTTAAATGTGACACCTCTCTAGGCTCTAGTTTCTCTTCAAAAACTGAAACATAACACACTTGGAATATAACCAGGCTAGTTTAATTGCAGTGAAACCAGTTAAAGGCGACACGGTGCTCTTCTTTAGCCTTCATATCGATGGCGTACCGGACCCGCTCAGCCTCCATGGGAGCTGCCCAGTGATAGAAGGTGAAAAATGGTCTGCACCAAAGTGGATCCGTATCAGGTCCTATGAGCATCCTCCTGTCTCAAAGGTGACAGAAGGATGCTCCGACAACAGTGCACGTTGCGCGAAATGGGCTGAAGCTGGAGAATGCGAGAAGAACCCGGTATACATGGTAGGTGCCGAGGGTTTGCCCGGCAATTGTCGGAAGAGTTGTGGCGTTTGTGATTCCTAGGATGTGTTTATTTTCCTAAATCTGATGTTTGTGTCACTTGCTGAACACTTGATTTGTACATACTTAGAGCATTTTCAGATGAAATAGGTAGCATTTGAATTTTCAGACAGTGAACAGTAGCATACTATTTCTTCAAAAACAACGGCTTACATCCTTTGCACATGGTTTTGAAATCTCAAGTTTACTTCTAGTGGAGGTGAAGACTGTGAAGTAAGTTTTGGTATTTTACTGATGCAGAAATGGAATCTGTCCTTCTGGCAACAATGCTACTGCCTGTTCCACTTTAATTTTGTTGGCTTGCATAACAGTGGATTTCAGTACAGCAGTGTGTCAGGCTGTCTCAAAAATAACAAACTCCTTTGGCCCTTTCCACAATATAGAAGTTCTATGGTCTTTATCTCCTGCATCAGCCTGGCTTTTAGACAAGGAAACTTTGTTTGTTGCTACCTCAAAACATGTTTCTAATCCACAGAGAACAAGTTTAGATCCTAACAAAAGTTTTGTTCTACTGCATGCGAAAAATCGTCGAATTAGTGTACATTTTCAACAGTAGACTGAAAATGTCCTTGCAACGATCATGTAATCCATGTAGGGCTTATGAGAACAGTGTGATCCATGTAGTCACAATCTAATAATAAGGACAGTGACATATCACCTGAAAGTGGTAGATGTGTGTATTTCTTCAGGGTGCTTCACACTTTGAAGGATCTGCTTTTGGACCTTGCTTTACCAGAGCAATCTCTCATGTGTCATGCCTCCTCCTAGATTTACTCAAACTTTACCTTAAACACTTTTGTGTAAACTAAATTATCCTCTAACTTGGTTTTGCTCCAAGGGTAACTAAGTAATCCCTGATGGTCCATCAGACAGCATTTTCGGTTTGCCATCTTAAAACTCCAATTGGCTCTTTTTACCAATCAAGATCTAAGAGAAAGAAAAATGAAACAAAAGAAGGAAAACAACATAACTCAAAAAGCAAAGGACAAAAGCAAGCATGGCCTCACCTCCTTTGATTTCTACCATGCCTCTTCATTAGCTAGGCCCTTCAAAAGCACATCAGAGCCAGCAGCTCAAGGAAGAAAGAAGCTGAGAAGAAAACCAGAAGCAAGAAACACATACCACTGCCTCCACAACAATATAATGTGCTGAGACAAGAGAGAAGAAGCCTCACATTTGAGGGGGGGCTTTCCTCACTTGCACCACTCTATGAGATGCTCATAGAGGGGTGGTGGTGGTGGTGACAATACCCCAAGATATAGAAATTAGGGTATTATGAGCAGGTTTGCCAGGTCAGCGAGGCGGGTATCAGCGACAACATTGGCCATCCTATTTGGAGGCCTCATTTTGGTGTCATTGTTGGTGGAGACAAGCGCGAAACCGCCGTCTCCGGGGAGTAGTGTTCTTGGTGTTGGGGGTAGAAGGATGATGATCAATGGAGGACTAGTTCACAGTCACAGGAGCTTGGAAGATTTCAATGCTGGTGATGCTTTCAGCAGCATGAAGAGGAGGGTGCCAAATGGACCAGATCCAATCCACAACAGGTAACTTTTATAGCGTGCAAACATGAGATGTACTGCTCTTTTTCTTGTTCCTCTTCTCCTTTTTTCTGTTTCACCAAATTTAGTCAGAATGTTAGCTTGAGATGTGTCAACTACAAGTTTTTTTAATGGCCTTTTAACTAACCTTCCATGGATCTCTGGAAATTCTTATTGATAATAAAAGATTAATATAGCAGAAAAGTATTGTCGATGCCTAATCGTGTTATCTGAGGTGCGGTCTTGTTCAAGAACACCTTAAGTTTTATACTGAAATCTTTCTATCCCACTTCAGTCTAATTTAAAGAGCATATATGTTTCAAATTATGTTCATGCTTTTTGTTTCATCTTGCTGAGTATAAGCTGGATTGGCTTTTGAAATCTCTATTTGTTCAATATAAAATGAACTATATCTATGTCATTCCATAATATGACTTCTTTATGGAATTAAGCTTGCTTGCCATATCGAAATTTAATACTGTACAAGTTTGAAAGGCATGACTTAAATTTGATTGCACAATGAAAACAATGTATAAGATGGTCACACTATTTGTATTCACTACACAAACAGTGCTCATGATGATGTATGCTAACCTTTTAATAAAGGAAAACAATTACTCCACCCAATGAACACCCTGCATGAACCTTATCATATCTGAAATGATTAGCCAACATGCATCTAGCACCCTTAACGAACTACTACTCATCAATCAGAGCAATATATGTGTGTCACCTTGAACATTATACTTGCAGGCTTTCAATTCCTTCCTTTATTTACTCTGGTTTTCTAATGGTCTTCACCTTGAATTCTTCAGAGGAACTGGAGAATCAGGAAGATCACCAGGCCGAGCGTAGGTAGCACGCGCCCCGATCGATGGAAGCTTCCGAAGCACTTCTGTGGATTAGATCATTGTGTTGGAAGAAAGGGAGGGAAAAACAGGAGTTCAGCATTTGTGGTGGGTCTCTTGCAGGATGCTGGTGTAACTAGGGGAAGGTGGCCTATGCTGTTCTAAGCACTGGTATTTAAGACAATTTTAGGCATAAAACTTTAGCTTTCTTGAAAACAAAAGCTATCCTACTGATTGGGTTTTTAAAGAGAGCAACATCAAGCTTCCATCTCACAAAATTCAGCATCAAAGGTTCTTGGCAAAGGGATATGGGCAAGAGCTCCTTTCTTTCAGTAGTGACTTTGCACATGTTTGTAGTAGTGTTGATTCTTCTTTTTCTTTTAAGTCTCATTTTTGTTGTATTGATTAGAAAAGCACATTGCAAGTTTGCTATAGAGGAAAAGGTAAAGATAAGATGAGCAATAATTTCCTGGCTTTGTTTCTTATCTTGTGATGAGATGTGAAATCCATTGTAGTTTGTGCCCTAGAACCAAAGCAAGGTAGACCCACTTACTAAAGATGCTTTTGGTTTGCCAATTAGCATGCTCCACCTGCAAATAGCATTATCACTTGAGAGCAACTGGAATTGTCTGCACAATATACGAACAAGATTATAAAATTAGGTATATTTCAATTTTACATTACTTAATTGCTAGTTGATTTCCTCAAAATATCTTTTCAAGATACATCTCCTTTTCATTCTTCATATCCATATTTTGTAATTTCTCTAGTTCTACATCAAGCACTTCCAACAAAATTACTGTGGTAAAAACAGCAAGAAGCATTGGTAGAAGCCAAGATGCCAAGCTAAAGAAGAGAAAAGAACATCCAAGCTGCCAAAGTAACCATGGATTCTCTCCAATGCACATTTTCTTTTCTTTCCCTTCCTCTGTTTTCTCTCTTCTTTTCTTGCAGGAGTGTAGCTTTGAACAGCCAAAGTTGCACCCTGAATGTGGCCTAAAAGCAAAGCTTGTGTGACAGTGTGAGGAAGACTGATAAGAAACTCTGTCCTTGGTTAAAAGATGAACCTTCTTCTTCTTGGGGCTAATCTATTCTTTTCTTGACCAGTCTTCTTGTGTACTGCATCTGGGAGAATAAGATGTGTACCAAGTGCCTTTCTCTGTATCAGATGCATACTAAAGTGGGGACAAAAGTGTGTGCAGTTTGTACTGCATTTTACAGCCAGCTTAGGGAAAAGTTTAGTTACTCTCTTGATCCAATTACTTACTATACTTGGATCCAAGAAATAGTGGGGATTTTCAGAATTTTTGGGGAGTTGATGAATCTACTAAAATTTGAAAATAATAAAACCAAGCAAGTACCCAAGGCTATTAAACATCCTGTAATCTTGTAATGTTGTGTTTACCTTGTGACAAGGAGCAAGCCACAAAATTTCTTCTTCTTAAGAAAAGAAATACTACATTTCATCCCATATTTATTGTATATTAGTTTTCACCATGAGGACTTTCACATATTTGAACTAAATCTTACAAAATCCCTATAAAACTCCTGGAGTTCCAAACAAACCTTAAAATCCAAACCATATATACTCACATTTCCCTTACATAGACCAATGCTTTCATCCTCCCTGGCAGTTCTGAGTTCCTTGTTGGCACAATATCATTTATTGTGCAGCATAGACCCCACGTCCCCACCTGTCAATGAAAAATATCACAAGAATCCTCTATATCATCAATTTTTTAAGAGACCTTTTACCATGTGCAGCTTCTAGCAAAATTTTCCGCTCTCTAAACAGATTACGTTCTCACCTAAACTTTGAGAATATGTGATTATAGAATGAAAAAGTAAATCAGAAATCAGAAACTAAAAAACTTAGCTTTTAAAAAACTCTCACCAACCAATTACTTAGCGGTTACTTATTAGAATCTAGATCTCTTCGGGGAAGCATGAGAGGTATGGTGAAGTCGTGGTGCATGACTCCACCCACCAGGGTTTAAATCCTAGTGCCCACGAATATTACGCACATGTAGGTAGGTTTTCAACGGAACTTTAGTGAGATAAGGAATGCGCCGTTGGTTTCCGTCTCTCAAAGCATATGTTAGGGAATACATTCGCGGGAGTGTGAGTGTAGTGTTACATGTGTAGTGGTGTGTGTTCGTGTGCGTCTGTCGTGTAATCTCAGAAAAAGAGTCTAAGATCTCTTCAAACAAGACCAAAATTTCCATGTACAAATTAAATTAAGAGCTATGGCTACTGCGCCATCGATCGCGTGAATGCCCCAAAAAAACAAAAAAGAAAAAGAGAAAAAGAAAAGTGCAGCCCGTGAGTAAACCTGTACTATGCCTTTTGACCTGGATACCAACGACGGCAGGTGACAACTAATTTCACATGGCTCTTAAATTTGCAGCTACTCCAGACGATCAGACGTTAGAAAATTAAATTTTGGTGTAGATTTCAGTTAGTTTGCTTATATGTATGGTGTAGATTTGCAGTTGGAATTCACATTTAGTTAACGAGATTAGTAAATTTTCACTTTACATGCATGCAATCATCTCAATTTTTTTCTCTCCTGTGATGTTTTTTTATGTTGGTTGTAGATGGAAAATCTAATTAATAACACGCACAGTGGAATTCTCCTTTTGTGTGTGTGTGTTAGTGATTGTATTTGTAGGCCTTCATGCTTGCAATAGAAGTTTAATTGCAACTTGCCAGCAAATCGGCGATGATATTACTAACTAAATTCTCTTGCTGCAGTGAATCATAGATCTAACAGCCAATCTTTTTTATGAGAAAAAAAAAAGAACAGCTAGCATTTTGTGGGGCCGCGCTAGATCAAACCAAGACCAGATGCATATAACACATCTATTGCAGATAGTATTGAAATTAATAGCTGACACGATTTTTCTTTGAAAAAAATAGAATTGCAATCATCCTCCTACCGTCCCCTTTTCACCGTGCGCATGAGGTGTCCACTCATTCACAGGTACGTCACTGTAGGATACAGTATTTTATTCCCAATCCATCCACCAAGTCAATCTCTAATTATATGGATCTAGCCAATACTTTATTTTTAATTCACGTACCTAGTTAGTCCTCAATTATTTAGGCTTGGTCCGTTGCAAAACACGAATATATTACTAGACACTGAAAGAAAAAGAGTTATAATATTTAATTCACAAAAATATACGTACAGTTGTGATGCAAACCAGGTTTTGAAAACCTGTTTCAAAATTTCCTAAATTGCGGGTAATTTACCAACGTGTCCAGAGAGGAAACACCTTTGGCCTGAAAATTCGAATTTGTCTGAATTTAGACACTGTAACTGTTTGAATTCAGTGAAAATACGTTCAAATCTCACAAACAGTATCCTAACCTTTTTGCATTGCGAAAAGAAAAATCCTGATCCAAACAGCAAAAAAGCAAGGCAAAATTTAGAAACAACTTTTGAATTCAGCGAAATTCTGTTCAAATATCATGAGCTGTCCGGATTTTCTTTTGCATTGTGAAATGCAAAACTCTGAATCGAACATGACAAATTTAAGGCGAAATTGGGGAAGCACCAAGTGGTGGAATCCTAGATGCATGCATGACTTCATCCAACATATTTAAATGATGCCCACAAATACTATGCATATATAAGCATATTTTATATATAACAAGATTTTAGTGGGATATCTCATTGGTTTTCGTCTATCTAAACATGTGTTAGCCAGGGGACGTATTTGCGGTGGTGTAATCATTGGTCCTGTTTGGATCCTCCGGGCTATTAAATAGCCCTCCAGAATCTTGCTATTTAAGAGTATTAAACGTAGATTACTGACAAAACTCATTCCATAACCCCTAAGCTATTTTGCGAGACGAATCTAACGAGGTATATTAATCCATGATTTGCTACCGTGATGCTACAGTAATCAGCCGCTAATTATGGATTAATATACATCATTAGATTCGTCTCGCAAAATAGCCTAGGGGTTATGGAATCGGTTTTGTCGGTAATATACGTTTAATAATCCTAAATAGTAAGATTCTTGAGGGCTATTTAATAGCCCGAAGGATCCAAACAAGGCCATTGTGTTGCGTGTGCAGTGACATGTAATCGGGAAAAAAAATTTAAGACTAAAATTTTGAACTAGTAGTATGAAGCTACAGTGCCTTCTTCCTGCAGCTAGCTACTACCTCCGTTCCAAAATAAGTGCAGTCATGGATATCCATGCCCAGCGTTTAACCATCCATCTTATTTCAAAAAATTGTGAAAAATTTGAAAATATTTAGTCACATATAAAGTATCATTCATGTTTTATCATCTAATAGCAATAAAAATACTAATCATAAAAAAATTTTAAATAAGACGAATGGTCAAATGTTGAATGTGAATAGTGTAAAACTGCACTTATTTTGGGACAGAGGGAGTAGATGCAATGGCAGAGATGATCTCGCATTAACTAACTTCCCCCCTCCATGGATCGATCTCATCTACCCCCTCTTCCCCTCCCATTTATTGCAACCCCATGTCGATCGCCATGGCAGCAGCAGCAGCAACGAACCACTTGCTCCCGCCATTAATCGCTTCCTCCAACTCCCCATCGTCTCTCCTCCTCCCCTTTAAACCCCCTCTCCTCTCGCCTCCCGCTCCACCACCATCGATCGATCTCCACCTCGCCGGAGTTGAGAGAGACGACGCTGCAGGGATCGAGATCGAGATCAGAGAGGTTGGCAATGGCGGCGCGCGTGGCGGTTGTCCTCCTGCTACTGTTCGGCCTCGCCGCCGTGGCGGTGACGGCGGCGAGGATCATGCCCGACGACGACTGCGGCGACACGGCGAACGCCGCCGGCGCCGCCGGCGTGGGGGAAGCCAAGACGGCGTTCGGCGGGAGCGACGGCCGCGGGGGGCTCTTCGGCGGGTACACCGGCCCGCTCGGCGGCGGCGCCGCCGGGTTCGGCCCCTTCGGCGGGTTCGGCGCCGGCGGCGGGCCGTTCGGCGGGTTCGGCGGCGGAGTTGGCCTCGGCGGCGGCGGCGGAGGATTCCGGCCGTAAGACGATGACTCGTAGGACGACGTGTGCGCATGCGTATAGTAGTATAGTGCAATTAATGTGATTCCACGTGTATAACGTTGTGGGTTAATTGTGCCACGTCAGATATATGTACTAATGTACGGTGAGATGTATCTACCGTACGCTGGAGTTTGTACGGCTATCGTTGATTAGAGATTTCTCTTGTGTTGCTTAAGTGTTTGTGTGTGTGTTCATTGAGTTGTTTTGTGTTGTAATTTGCTAAACTTTCAAGTGCTTATCTATGATTGACAGAGGTAAGATTCATGTGGCTGACTATTTGGGCCCACCAGTCAGCCAGTGGAAGGGCTGATGGTTGGGCTCAGCCAATTGAATGTTGACACGTAAGCAGATGCAGCCTCCTAAGTCATACCTCCGTGTTCAACTTATATGCAAAATTTGCCACGGGACACGCAAAAAATGTGTAATTGGCTGGAAGACACCACGAAAACGTTATACGGCTGATGGACACTAAAAAAATGTGAAATTTGCTGTAGAACACCGGTCGCATTATTTTATTATTTCCGGTCAAAAGAGGTGAGATATTTTTCTAAGTGTCCAGATTACCCTTCTCTTTCCTTCCTTTTCTCCTACTCTTTCCTTCTTTTCCCCTTCTTGTTGATTTCGCTGGGAACGGCATAGCAACCTCAAAGCAGCAGTGGGGCGAGGTCGGCGCGGCGTGGTGTGGCATCACCAGCGGCCGGGGCGGTCAACGGCATGGGCGACCATGGAGGCGCGGTGTTCGACCAGATCGATAGCGGGCAGGCGACGACACTGCTGGTGCAGCGGGGCGCGGCCGGGAGGCAGCACCAAGCGCAGGCGGGGAGGCTACGATTGGTCCCGGCGTCACCACTGCTACGATGGCCAGTGCCCTCGCTCCCTTCGGTGCGCTTGATGAGTGCCGACGACGGCGGCGGGTTCAGATCGGCGCCGACGAAGAAGGGGTGTGATCTCCCTCTCCGGTGCACCATTTTTCGGGGTCCTTGAGGGGAGATGGAGAGGAGGATGAAGCGAAGATGCTGGTGCAACAGCTTGGCCCGGCTTGGTCCAGATAAGTGGGAACGGCGATAATGTTGCTGCGCGGTGCACAGAGCGCGCTCCAGAGCTCCGGTGGGCACGACAGCGTTCCCGTCGATTGGCTACACGAATCGAGAGGTTGTCAAAGCAAGATTTGATTGGCATGGAGAGAAGATAATAGAACATGAATTAGATAGGAACGGAGACGGCTCGTTGGTGATCGGCAGTGTCCTCCTTCTCAGCGGCTGACAACGAAAGATAGGTGGAGAGGGAGAGCTGGAGCTCTCTTCCTAGGTTCGCTCTGTGTGGAAATGAAGTGGAGTAGATGGCGATGCAGCAGGGACGAGATGAAGACTTGCCTCGGCATTTTGAGGCATTGACACGTCGTGCACACGCGTCGAACTCAGCCGACGCCGATCTCTCTCTCGGTTGTCTCTGGTCGATCTCTCTCACGTCGCGTGCTAGCTCATGTCGCTTGGCCCAACCTCCCCCAAACACGACGAGCTGAGGAGGCTATTCTCCAGGTTCGGCAAGATCGAGAGGGAAAAGAAGATAAGGGCAAAACTATCATTTTACGTTGTTTCTCTCTCATCAATTGACCGAGTATTATATTTTAATGTGTCCAGTGTTCTGCAGCAAATTATCACATTTTTGGAGTGTCTTTGGGCAAATTCACGTCTTTAGGGTGTTCCAGCTAATTACACATTTTTTTTGAGTGTCCTGTAGCAAATTTTACCAACTTATATATACATCATCTGTGCCATAAAAAATCAATATGTGTAGATTCATTATACTAAAATGTGTTAAATTACATATACTGTGCCATAAAAAACTAACATGTCAAGATTCGTTATAGAATGTGTCACGTCCGATCCTAAGTTGTTATTTTGGGACGAAGGGAGTACATCACAGTAATGTATAAAATTTACTGCAAGTACCGTGTATGACATGACTTTAGATGAGATGTTTGATATTTTAACATTTCATAAAGCGGGTTTCGATTATTTAACATAGTAGGCATAGATAAAAGGAGACAATCTAAATTGATAAATCCTGACGGATTTAATTAGTATATATTTGTATAAGTTCATCTCATAGTGTTATATGTATTTTTCTTTAATTTTTCCCTCTCATACATGCTAGCTTTTCCTTTCACTAAAAACAAAAGGAAAAGAGGGATAACCTAATATTTCCTCAGATTATTTCTTCCTTGGAGGAGACTGTTAATTTCTACCGCCTCAGTTAATTGCTCTCAACTTGGAGCTTAACTCTGAGCATATGTTGAGGTATTGAAGCTGTGGGCCAGAAAGCCTCTTCAGATCCATCAGGTAATTCCCTTCCCCTTCTGACTTGTACAGCTACAATAAGCACAAGAGGTAAAATTTTTATCATGGGTAAAAAAAAATTAAAGGAACGGTTAAACACATGTTTTTTTTTGCAAGTATTAAGATTTGGAGGGAGTAATAATTGTCAAGGGGAGAAACACTATCAGTCTCATTGTTTGGCTTATTCGAGGAACAAGCCAAATGATATATTTAAAAATGAAAAATATTTTTTTAATAAAGTTCTTATATACATGTTCTTAACGATATAAATGAAAAGACTAAAAAATAAACTACGATGAAAAACTTTAAAATCACCTCTAAATTTAAAGTTAAATATTTAAACTTTAACTGATAAATATAAATATAAGCGAAAAGATGAGGTTACGAGAGTGTATGAATGATGCGCTTGAGGAGAATACCTGAATTTCAAAGAACACAGCCGCAGACAAGCTCTCGAGGACAGCATCATCGACGGGAGCTCCACCGCCATGGCCAGCCTCACCTCTGCCACTGCCACCACCGGCGGAGGAGGAAGAGGAGGGCGCGTCGTCGGTGGCGGCGAGGTAGCTGCGGATGATGCGGCGGACGCCGGCGGCGCCGGCGAAGCGTGCGCAGAGCAGCTTGCCGTAGCGGCCGCGGTCGTCGTCGTCGTGCGCGTAGACGACGCCGGTCTCGCGCAGCGCCGCCGCGATGGCGCGCATCGCCTCGCGGGGGCACTCGTGGAACTCCACCCCTCCCAGCGCCCATCCGTTGTTGCGTCCGTCGTCTTCTCCGGCGACGGCGACCGGCGGCTCTCCGGCAGCACTGCTGCCAGTTGCTTCTGCTGCTCCCTGTCCAGAGCAAATAGGTGTATGATGGTGTTGAATCAGTTGATCCAATACAGTGTTAGATTTTTTAAAAAAAAGGAAAATCCACTTTGTTTAGTACAAAGAAATTTCTTGATCATTATTGTGCAAATAAAACATTTTTGTCTATAAACATTACTCCAGGTTGATTATACTTATTGTTTTGGATAAGAGTATTGTCAAACTTTAAAAACTTTTAATTATAAATAACATCTAAAATGTTTGTCTTAGAAATGTGGTGACCATATATATAGATTGGTCTTAAAAGTGCTCCAACAAAATCATATATTTATCTATACATATTTTAATAGAAAATAGTGGTCAATGTTGTTTTTTTTGAAGACCGTATACTTTTTAAAACGATAGGTATTATCAGTCTAGATGGATGGAGTACTGAATTAGAAATTATTCAACATTAATTCTAGATTGGTAAAATTGAACATCGTGAATATACTTTTATGTGCTCAAATAAGAATTTTATGGAAAACTTTTACTGTCATACTCAAAAGAAAACAATCCACCAGAGTCATATGTTTGAACTTTGAAGTGCATGTCCAATTGCACATATCCAAGATATTTGTCCTTGGACATGGGAATTTTAGTATTGCCATGAATGAAGATTTATTTTCTGCAGAACTAGTTAGTTTCTATACGTACCGTGGTGTTACTTTGTCCAGCTTCTTGATAGACGTCAATTGTCCAAACATAACGTGTTGGGGCATCGAACTTCTTATTGAGGATCAGGTTGTAGGCGACCGTCGCCTACAAACAAATCCATACATGCATATTTTGAACCACAAGTGAATTGCAATTGCATCGATCCATCTGTATGTATATGTTGCCAACATGTCATGAGTGGCATGTCATTAACCTTTCTATGTACCAATACTCTTATAGTTGTTACTTTCAAAATGTATGATGACGTTGACTTTTCACAAAGTTTGACCATTCATCTTATTCATTTATTTTTGTTATGATTTGTTTTATTATCAAATAAAATACAATCATAACATATAATTTTATATATGCATACTAAATTTGTGAATAAAACGAATGGTTAAACGTTATGCGAAAAGTTAATGGCGTCATATATTTTAAAAATGAGGTAGTACATTACATACCTCGTTTTCGACTCTGTTCTCAAGTGATTCAACCAAGTACCTCCTTTCAAAGCCATGGCCGACTACCTTGTCGACAGTCTCAGCATCAATCTAGCACAAGATATAAACACAATTAATCAAAAAAATGCGTAATCAATTAAAATTAAGCACCCAAATAGCACATAATTAATCAAAAGTAATTAATTAAGCAACACTTGCCCTGGTGATCTGTGTGCGAGCGTTGAGAGGAGGCATTGCGAGGTAGCGAGGGATGGAGTGCTGCAGCCAACGGTGCGTCCTGACCTCGGTGATGGTGAGGCGCTTGTCAGGTCTCACGATCAGCATGCTGGAGATGAGATCCCTCGCGTCGTCAGGCACGTACGGTGGGATACTGAACTCTCCTCTCTGCAACGCAATACGAAGAGAGGAAGAAGAAAAAAACAGATCAGCTGTTTCTCAATCTCATTGGGATTTTCAGTTTTGACCACTGATAACTTCTTCTTCCATTTGCTTGTCTACAGTTGTTCAGCAGCTGAATAATATATTTTTTTGTCATATGTTTTACAGTTGGAATTTTATACCTTCTTTTATTTGCTGGTCTAGAGTAATTCAGCTGAATAATATATTTTTTTCAGATGTTTTACAATTCACAGTTTATAACTTCTTATTATACCGTATTTGTTGGCCGGTCTACAGTCATTCGGTCGAATAATTTATTGTCAGCTGTTTTACAATTGACATTTTAGTATCCATGATGTTGAACTTCTAATTCAGATTTTTTTTTAGATAAGGGTATTTTTTTACCCGGCCTCTATATCCAACCGGATATATACGGCCATTGAAATAGGGAACTTAGCCCCGAAAACAACCCAATCTGAAATTCGCTCCATAGAAGATTTGAACTCAGGACCTTGGGGTACTACTCAGGTCACTGTAACTACTAGGCTATATACTACAAGATTTGAACTCAGGAACTTCTAATTCAGATAACTTCATATACGTTGTTTATGTTTATATCAAAGTCATTCTTTTTGTTAATATTAACACGGTTAATTAGATATTGTAACTATTGTGATTAGAATTCGAAGAGTAATTTCCTACCTTGATGATCCTGTGCAGCTCTGATACATCGGCGCTGTCAAAGGGCAAGCGTCCACAGAAGAGGATGTAAAGGATTACTCCACAGCTCCAAACATCCACAGGTGGACCAACATATTTTCTACCCGCGAGTAGCTACAATACAAATTACAATAAGCAACATAAACATCTCACATATGAATTTCAATACATTCCCCAAGTTACTATATGATCGACGACGACATGTAACTCCTTTTTTTTAACACTTAAATTTCTTCTAATTACTAGGCGTATTGACATTGAACTATGTATTCTCTCCGGTCCGTTCCAAAATATAAGCATTTCCGTCTATGTATTTTGGAATGGTTAGGAATATTTCATATGAGAAAAAGAATATTTGTGAATTTGTGGCTGACCTCGGGAGCGGCATATTCTCGGCTTCCGCATGACGCGCTGAGCACCTTGTTGTGCCTGAAGAACTTGCTGAAACCGAAGTCGACGATCTTGACGTTCATCTCTGAATCCATCAGGATGTTCTCCAGTTTCAGGTCACGGTGGACGACCATGTTGTGGTGGCAGTATTCGGCGCCTGATATAATCTGCCTCCATCGAATTGACCAATTAAAAAAAATGCATTCGTTGTTGCATCATCAAATTAACAACATTTCATTAAAATGTTTATGTCGTCTGACTTTCTTTCTCCTCTTTCTCAGAGTAAAATTTTTCAAAGTTTGGAACATGGAAATCGGCGTTCATCAAACCATAAAAAAATCTCGTAGACTAACACAAATCATTGTCGAAATTTCAGTTCAAAATGGGGAGCAATAAATCGGTGCAAAAATGCAGAGTTCTTCTTCTTTTTTGTTAACTCTGAACTTGTGAAGAGCTGAAGAAAGCAGGGTTTTCAACCTGCTGGAAGATCCTGCGAGCGTCATCCTCGCGGAGGCGGCCGAGCTGGGTGACGTAATCGTAGAGCTGCCCCTGCGTCGCGAGCTCCATCACGATGTACACGTGGCCGCCGCCGTCGCCGCCGGCGATCGCCTCGTGGAACCGCACGATGTGCGGGTGGTTCAGCAGCCTCATCACCGCGATCTCCCTCTCCACTGCCGCCGCCGCCGCCGATCGAAAATTCAGGAGAGAAAGAAAATCAAGAATTCAAGATGAGAGACGGATCGCTCGAGCTCGACGATCGGAGAGGAAGAAGAAGAAGAAGACGAAGGCGGTGGCTGCTTGCCTTTGCGGATGGGGATGCCGCTGGCGAGAAGTCCGGCGAGGTTGAGGATCTTGACGGCGACGCTGAGGCCGGTGCGGCGGTGGCGAGCCTCCCACACCTGCGCGAAGCTACCGCGCCCCCGCACCCGCACCAGCTCGTACCGCTCGAGCAGCTCCCGGTGCTGCTGCGTCGCCGCCGCCGCCGCCGCCGCCGCCGCCGACGCCGCGCCGCCGCCGCCCTGCATCCTCGATCGCCTCACTGAGCGTGTGTGTGTGTCAAGTAGTAGTAGTAATTAGTATGTGAAACTATGGGTAGCTTAAGCTACTAGTACTAGGATTATGGATGTATTAGTAAAGCTAATTAGGTAGTGATTATTGCGAGATTAAGAACGAGATTATATGCAAAGTAGTACTCCCTCCGTCTCATAAAAAATAAATCTACAACTAGATGTAACATATTCTAGTACGATGAATCTGTACATATATATCTAGATTCGTAATATTAGGATGTGTCATACCCGGTATTAGGTTGGTTTTTTATGGGACGGATGGAGTACGTAGCATCACTATGTGGCGTCTACATTATGTGCATTGGAATCACCGGAGGAAGAATCAATTCTAAGACGGTGAAATCAACAAGGTAATAAGGTAATTAAAATTGAAATTAAACTTGCCAGTGAAAGCAACACACTAAGCTGGGGGACAAGGGGGTGCATATAGCCAGACAGGCAAATAAACATCTTTCGATGTCATAGAACCAAATGGTTTTCTCAAATATGTCGACAGTATTGTGAGACAGGTTTTACCTTATTCGTCGATGTCATTTACGCCGGCCTAAATTTAACTCGGTAATTTGTTGCAAGCCAGCCAATCTTAATATTTTTTAAAGAAAATATATACAGCAATTTGGCTGTGCTTCTTTGGTTTCTCATGGGTGATGTTGGCTAGCTAGCTTGATAGCCCCATGTATGCTGCTTTGCTTTCTCATGGCTGACGTTAGCTAGCTTGTCCAGCTTCAAGTACTTGGAACTTTCAAACTTTCAGTTCAGTTTCAGCTTAGTTTTTTTTCTCTTTTTTTTTTGCGGGTACCACATGTATATACTTTGCATCTGCATCACAATATATTGCACTTTCATATATTCACATAGTTACACATGTGCAACCATATATGGCCGGGCCGGGGTATCATCGATTGTTGAAATTGACATTTTAGGGCTCCTTCGGAACAAAGGATCACCAGAGGATTTCGATCCTATGGAAAATTCTTCCTATATGGTTACCTGAATCAAAGGAATAGCTATCAAAAAATCTTATGAATTTTCTTTGGATTAGCTCAAAACATAGGAATTTTAAAGGAATTCTAACATGAGTTCCAACCTCTTAAAAAAAATCTTGGTGTCTATCTATCTTATATAATTCCTGTATTTTTTCCTATGCTACATCCAAACGGCCATTCTTGCAGTTTTCTTGTGTTTTTTCAATTCATGGAATTTGAGGTGTTAGAGCACTTCAATCCAATATTATTTCCTTCCCTAGTGTATTGAGAATCATGCGTTCATTTCCACCTGGAACTGTTATAGTACTGCAAGGATCATCATATTTATGTCAAAAAAATACGAATATATTGGTTTTTTTTAACGAAAGGCAAAGCTTACCTATTCATTGAATATAGAGGGTAAATTTAGAGCTAACGAAAAAATATTTACAGCATCACGGTTGGGGTCTACGGTAACATCTCTGCTAGGCGTTTGGCTCCCGCCATAGCCCAAGATTTTGCCTCTTCCTTAATCTTCGAGATTAGGGCCACCATGGTTAGTTCCTTGTTTCGGAAAATTCGTTGGTTTCGCTCCTTTCAAATTTCCCAAGAGATTAGAAGGATTAGGAATCGAGTCCCATGCTTGGGTGCACCTTGACGTGTTGCAAGCGATTCCCACCAGTAGTGTACCGTGGTTGATTGCGCCCAGTTTATCGGCTTGATGGGTTCACAGGCAACCCAGGTAGCAATTGCATCCTAGATTTTCCTTGAATATATTGGTATAATTTGTATGCACTAAGCTTATTTTAAATTTCGCTTATTATTGGCAAAACTCTACAGTGTTTACCATTTCGGAATCACAGTTAGCTAGCTGAGTTTGAGAGAGGGGAGATAGAGAAGATTAGGGAGATACGCAAAACGAAGTAAACCATTAGTGTATAATTAATTGAGTATTAACTATTTTAAATTTCAAAAATGGACTAATATGATTTTTTAAAGCAATTTTTCTATAGAAAATTTTAAAAAAACGTACCGTTTAATAGTTTGGGAAGCGTGCGCGTGGAAAACGAGTTAGAGTCTCCCCAATCTCTCCCCAATGTCCTTTGAAAGAACGCCGCCAGTATTCCTTGCTCCTTAATACTGCTCCCTATAACTAGGATACCTTCGCAGCCAAAATAGCATCTACACACTAGAGAGTCACAATCCCTGGGGTTAAGTGCTTGACCATTTTCAAAACGTACAGTCAGCACTCAGCATCTAAATAATTGGACAGCTAGTAAGCAGCACCGACCTTTTGCAGCTGGAGCTTGCGAAGAAATAGAATGTGATCCTACCACTGAATCGTGGAAAGCAGTAGCAAAAGAGCAAATCCGAGTCACAAGGAGGGTTTTAGATGCTAGTGTTGGCATATACTGGTAGAAAGGTTAAATTAAAGGTTGCCATCTCTCTAAACTTGGACGGCAGCTGCAAGGGGAAGAGAATGACATGAAGAAAGGTAATGCAACGCAGAGTTTACGATTCCTGATCAATTTCGTGAAACGGCTAGAGAAGTACCCTCTCCGCAAAAAAAAAAAAAACAAAACAAAACAAAAACAAACAAACAAACCAACCTAGGACAAGAACATCAAATCTCGTTTTATGTAGAGTACGTTGGTTTGGTTTTTTATGAAATGGAAGGAGTAGTCTAACGGAAGGAGTAGTCTGTTTTCCTATGTTTACACTTCGAAAAACGTAAAGGTTACGCCCTTTGCAACGTCAGTGTCACTAACTCACCATAGCGTACGCGTGTTGCCATATTAGCTTAATGTGATCAAAGGCATCTCTTGTTCTCTACTGGTGTCGTCTAATGGAAATCCTGTAAACCAGGGGCAAATTCACAAAACCAGCCACGAATTCTAGATGCAAAAGAACTGCCTGGCCTTAAAATAAGTTAGACAAATCAAGAAAGTGGTCCATCTTCAGGAGCAATTTCCTTGATGGACCTGCAACCAGAACTACCATCGATCTTCAAGGTCATCGAGTAATAATCTCTCCAAAATCAAAATTATTTATGAAGATCACAGGTTTGAAAATGCAAGTTGTTCCTTCTTACTAAGATTTAGCTGTGGAGTAAGAGAAGATATAAAGTGGGGGAACAAACGTAGTAACACCTACTACTCATATAGCAGAGCGAAAAGAGGGTAGCATACAGGCTATACATGAATAGCGTCCAAAAATACACGGGACTCCGACCCATAAACCCAGTCACTATCCGACACCAATCAAGCGCGACATCAGGGACACTCGAACACCCAAGAATCGGGGCAGGACTCATGACTAACAGAACAAAAAAAAACATATGGTCTTTTTTTTCGCCAGGAATAGGCGGTATTATGGGGGGCAAGGTGAATGTGGAGGACTGGGAAGCCAACACCCTCACTTGCACTTGAAGCCATGGCACACGGACAGGATGATGATGAGGATGAGCGCGATGATGATGCCCAGGACGATCAGCTTGATCTTCATGTTTTGTAACCACATCTTTCGCCGCACCTTTGTACCCTGCTGTCTGAAATCTTGTGCCTGCAACCCATAGTTTTGATTTAAGAACGAAGAAAGCTATGTGCATTTCCAAAATGCCAAGACAGAATAAAGTGCATAATCCATAAGTGCCACCATTCATTGGTTTTCTTTAACAGTATCATCCAAAGCATCTATATTGTGTCTCACACTGTTTAATCCAGTTAATTTCAACAGCTGCTACTTCCCATCGCTCATAGGAGCTAAATAAGCAAAGCTCAGATAGTTGCATATCATTACAAGCATCTCCAACCACTACAAGCATCTCATTGTGCATCAAATTATTCAGCTTGAACAGTATAATAGATGGTAAGAAGGAATCTATATGCTTGTTGTAGCATAGTAATAATGTATTATACATCAAAAGTTGCTGAGTTAATTAATGAGTTAAAATAGTTCATAATTTCCTTCTGCCTAGCCGGGTGCACATCAGTTATAACAGCAGATGGTGTGGAGGATTACTACATGTCAGTCGCAGCACAGTAATAATGCTATACCATATCAACAGTAAGCCAGATCACCTTTGGAACCATAATGCGGTACTTCTACATATGTACACCAGCATCGACATGGAAGCTTTCTAGTCAGCTCAAAACAGAAATACATAGGCTAAAACAGACCACGAGATATCTTGTTCTTTAGGGCAATCTTGTATCTTGGCATATATGTTCCAAAAATTCTGAAAAATTATTCTAGAGATGATAACATTTCAACTACCATAGAAGTCCAGTAATATTGATGTTTCAATTAATGAAACCATCCCTTCCCTACTAACAATGATGCTTCAACTAACAAAGCCATCAAAATTCTAGTAACAATGCTTTGGATGCATTGAGTAAAAGAGACTAGATTTGTCCTACTTAAATCTTATTCAGAATGTTTTTATTATAATGCACTAAATTCTAGAACATACCATTACCATACTCCATACTCTCATGCGATCTACACTAACATGTATCAGTAATTTCTCCATAGCAATCCATTGTATAAAGATTCCTGAGTTCTATAAGATGATTTGCAGTTCTAAATTCTCTGTGTTACACAACAGTAACTTCAAAGATAAAGAAACTAGTACAGCACATCATGAAGGAAAACGTTAATACCTGAGATCTCAGGTTTTCAGTCTTGTCGACAAGCAGTTCAATCTTCTCACCACGGTCAAGAACCTGAATTTCATAATTGTAATATAGAATCAGCAACAACCTTTGAAGAGCATCATGGTTTTTAAAGAACATAATGTGCAGACCATTGGATGATTTAAGAATGAACCTTCTCAATGTTTTCCATCATAACTCCTTTGACCTCTGAGACTTGTGCTTTGACCTTTGCAAGCTTGCTGATTTCCTCAGGGTGGTCCACACAATACTGCATGTGCTCCTTAAGTTTTGATCTTTAAATAGTAGAGACAAACAAATATCAGTCAAAAGAAAGAAAGCCCACACCATGCTCGAATATCACATAAAAGCAAAATGAACATACCCGAATTCTCGGTTGAGGCTGTTTGCTGCAGCAGTAGCTGCTTTCCCACCACCATATCTTTTGGTGAAATCTTCCTTGACTCTGTCAAGGAAAGCAATGGGGATTTGTCGCCCAACTGATTCAACAGCAACTACACAGTATGCTGCACAAAGGGGGGGAAATGGAAATGATAATTAATCTCAATGCACATCATGAGTTTGTGTTAGAAAGTGAAAACATCAAAGTACCAAAAGATCAAAATAATGAAAATAGTTGTTTTAGGGTGACCAAGCAATTTAGAATGGTTCCAAAAAATAGATGACGCAAGTTTGCAAACCAATTTAGACTGTTTAAATTGTGTAACATATTCAATTTACCATAAAAGGGTGGGTGCTACCTTAACAGTTTGCCTGTGGGGGAAAAAAAAACTTTCTAACCACCCATCTTCCTGCTTTTTTTGTTATCCTTCATAACCTTCCACTAATTACTCAATCATGCACGCCACAGCCTAATACAAGATAACAGTTATGAATCTTCCCTTGACTACGTAATGTTAGCCCCACATCCAATTCCTCTTGCACTATGAAACCATGTCTTGCCTTAATTGTTTATTTGTTCAAAAACAATGCAAACAATTGGATTGGGAACTTGCATCCTACCTAAAACTAAACAGCATTTATTCCATAATAATATACTGCAACCTATTCAATGAAGTACCAAATGAAATTTGAAGTAGCCTTTTGATGTCATTTTCACATTACCATAATAATGGAAATATGGTCACCCAGTTTGAACATAAGAAAAGGCAAAATATGCTAGACTGCCCCGATACAATACTTGTGCCCGCAAGAATGACACAATTTTAATGCCTCTTCTGATCATCACAAAGTAGAATATGAAAGATAAGTATCACACCATTTTGATTTGATAAGTTAGTTAGATATGTCCATGAATCGTCCAGAAATGCAAAATCGAAAAACGCACCAATCACCTAATCCCTGAATCCCCAGTATGCCGATGCGGTTAGAGCCTAAAAAATATTTGATATAGTCAAATAACACATTCAAAACGCAAACACGTCTATAAATTTCCTGATTCTAGCATGCAATCACACATGGAAACACCCGAGCCTCCTCTAAATATAGCCAATTCCCAACACCTAGCCTCCCTCTCTAGCATTCGTCAACTCAAACCGAAGCACAAGCAGCACACGCTAGATAGCACTAGCACGCCCCGCAAGTCAGCTCGGAGTCCAAGCGGATCCAACCACTCGAGGCCCCAGGCCTACCGAAACAGATCGAACAAACCCCGCGAGATCTACACGCATGGAGAACCCCAAATCGAGCACGCAACGTTGCGGATCCGAGGCAGATCGGCGTCCGCGCGGCCTCGCCGAGGAGGGAGACCGATCGATCATTGGATCGAGGAGGAGGAGGAGGAACTCACTGAATCCGTCCTCGACGAGGTAGTTGAAGGTGTGGCCGTCGCAGTTGTAGGTGAACTTGTTGTTGCTCGCGGGGAGCTTCTGGAGGCACTGCGCCGCGATGGTGGTGAAGTTGCCGGTGAACTCCGTGTACTCGGCGAGCACCACCGTGCCCCTCGCCACGAACGCGTAGATCAGCGACTGCTGCCCCATCGCTGGCGGTCACCTCCCCCGCTTTCCTCCCTCGCGCTCTCCGCCGCCGCCGCAACCTCCCTCGCTGGTGAATCCGACGGCGCCGACGAGGATGAGGTCGTCGGCGGTGAGGTGGTTGGGGGGGGGGGGTGGAGGAGAAGGGAAAAGGGGATGAGGATGGTGAGCGAGCGAAGGTGGGCGTGGAAAAAGGGGAGAAAGAAATCGAATTCGAGGTGGGGTTTTGCACTTTGGTCCTTGGGAGGGGGTATATTTATGTACTGTATAACTGTTGCTTTGACTGGTGTCCCTAATCTTTGACGACAAATCAGGGCTATTTGATTTGAAGAAAAAAACATATAAATTTTGAAGGATTTCTAGTTTTATAGAAACTTTTTTATGAATGTCTTTTGAAACAAAGGATTGGGTCATTTTATATCCTTTGAAATTCCTATGGAATGGAAAATTCTATAGAGATTTTGGAGAAAAATTAGCAAGAGCTTCAATCTTTTGAAAATCTTCCTTTGAGTATAACTCTCTCATACGATTCTTATATTTTTTTTCATGCGGTCCAATCAAACGTTTTTCATGTGTTCTGTAATTCTTTGTTTACACTTGCATTTCTATCATAATCCTAATTTTCCCTATTTTTTGTTTTTTTATTCCTACGAATCAAGGGGCTCTTGAAGTTTTAGCATATTGGAACATTTCAATGCTGCTTAGGGTCTGATTTTTAATCTCCAACTTAATTTAGATTTTCAGGGGCACATAAAATAAGATAAACCATTAGCACATAAATCATTAGTGTTAATTATTACAAACCTTAAATAATGGGTTTATTTGAATTTTAAAGAAACTTTATATAAAAAGCTTTTGTAAAAAATACGTCATTTAACCATTTGAAAAATGTGCTAACAAAAAATAAGGATGGAGTTGACAAAAAGAACAAGGCATAAGGTAATGCTCTTTTTAATTATGCACCGAATTATTGAAATGTATTATTCTGCTCTCTAATTAAAAATACATTTAAGAAAATCTTCTGTTGTATTGCTTAGATAGCTTGTTTTGAAGTTTACTTTTTAAATATTTAATTTATCCATATAATAATAAAGATAATATATGATAATAATCCGTTCGATAATCTAAATCAAACGGAAGCTTGTGTCATGGTTGCGAGGACGTCTCTACCTCTGTCTTGATAATTATATTTTTTTAATGGAGTTATTTTTGTGCGAACTGAATAATTGTTTGACTCGGTACAAAATTATAATAGTGAAATAATGATACAAACTACAAACTCTCAAGTAGGCATTAATTTTCCATTCATTTTAAGATACTTTATACTTTATATACTAAGATATTGAAGATTAGTTATAACAACCATGTTGCCTACATCAGTATCTAGGTGTTTTAAAACAATACTAGTAGTATTATTCAAGTGATAACATAATTAGTAGAGCTTTAGACGGGTTGTCCCTTGTGGTTTCTACTTTCTAGTTGCACCAACTGATGCTCAACCTTGGAGGGTACCTGTTTGTGATGGAGCCATAATTGCAGGGTGTTAGGTCCCATCTGGAGCCAACAAATTGGATTGCCGGATCATGAAGCAAGATGATCAGAAAAACGAGCAGATGACTCGTCAATTTAAATCGCAAAGGAATTCACACAGTGACACAGAAGGGAACACACATCGCTGGTCGGTACCAACTTAATTAATTTTTTATGGGAAAGGAAAAAGGGTATAATGGAAAAATGAGATACTGGTGTTCTTTTAATTCTGAACCTCCGCATACTGTGATATTGCAGATGACACCTTGATGATGGGATTTTGGGGTTAATCTCGCTAGCTCTCTCTGCGATGATTCCTACGATTCGGGAATAGAAACGAGGCTTAAACACGGGTGCTAAATAGTTTGATAAGATTGGCATTGGTGCCAGCAAATTTTTGGTGGTGTTTGAATCTCCTAAGGATGAAGATTAAGTATTTCACGCAAAACGAGGTGGTAATAACAAGTGATTAATTGAGTTTTAATTATTACAAACTTAAAAAATGAATTAATCTGATATTTTAGAACAACTTTCATATAGAAAGTTTTCGCACGAAACGCACCGTTTAGCAATTTGAAAAGCGTGCCATTTTAATCCAAAATTTAATCCACTCTTTCCAGTGGATTCGAACGGGGTACATGTACCGTTCTCTTTTTTTTAAAGAATTACGCAGTACATGTACCGTTATTGTTAAAAATTCGTTTGACCAAGATTTTAAAATTAAAATTAAATTAAATTTTGCAAGGAAACTTCAAATTGATTGAGCTTCCATGATCCATCTTGTTTGGGACTACTTCTAGATTCTCTTTTTGCAATGTAAGATACTCATCTCCCTCCGTTTCACCATTATAAGATGGTTTGATCTATTCATCTATCGTCTGGATTTACTTAGATCAATATAACTTTGGACATATTTGTATATAAATCTAGTCAAAACCGAAAACTTCTCACAACATAAAACATAGGAAGTAGTAATATGCTCAAGACAATACCTAAGAGGTCCTTTGTTGCATGAACTGTTATTATTTACATACTGAATATTCTATAAAAATTCATGCCTTCCAAAAAAGCTAAAAAAGATAATACAGTTGGCAAACACTGGTTAATAGTGATTTTTTTCATTGTTTATAATAAGACAAATTTTGCTACATAACATTCAAAACTTGTGTAATTTGCTAATGCACATTGAATAATGTGTCACGACTGAAAGACATCCTAAAAATTGGTAATTTGCTAGAGAACACTTTCGGCTCAATTGGAGAAATTCTTAAGAACGACGAGAATGCTCTTAACATACATGCTTCAAACATAACGTTAGAGTAAAATTTAGAAATTATGCAAATATAAATTTACCATCACCCCAGTACATCACTATACATCATAATCCATCTTCACTCTAGCCTAGCTCAAAAGCTTTTTGACCGGCATTCTTTTTTTTAATAATTTCTCTCTACAATGACGAGTGTCCTCCAGCAAATTATCAATTTTGTAATTGTCTTTCAGCCCTAACATGTTTTTATGATGTCTCCCAACAAATTATATAAATTTTTGAGTATCTTGTAGCAAATTTTGCCTTATATTTAAGGTTAGATCCATGTTTCATCCTTAAACCTTTGATAAAATCCATTTTCATCCGGAACTATATATAGAACTGATTTCCTTTTCATCCTTGCTTTTCAACACCGGTTATATCGGGTCTGTTTGGCACAGCTCCAGCTCCAGCTCCACCCCTCCTGGAGCTAGAGCTCAGCCAAACAGTTTCAGCTCCACCAAAACTGGAAGTGGAGTTGGGTGGAGCTCTCTCACAAGATGTACTAGAGTTGTGTAGCTAGGTTTAGGCAGCTCCACAACTCCACTCCAGACTCAACTCCTGGAGTAATATTTAGGAGCTGGAGCTGTACCAAACAGCCCCATCGTCTAGAGTAAAAATGGAATCCGTGAAAAGTTTCGAGGGTGAAAATAAAAGACTACTGCTTTAGAACTGCAAGCAGGAGAGGAATAATAGATTGGGCAAACAAATGCTAGGGCTAGTGATATTAGAATTAGTATAGAGATAATGTATTATATAGATTATCTTAAAATTATGAGTATGTGATATGGATAAAATTAGAGGTAGCAACCGTAAAAGTAGCTCTTGGAATTATACCTTGATTCACGAGACTAATCAAAGACTGGCCGGCCGACCTTAGCAAACTTTAGGGTAGTGTTTGGTTGGTGGGATGGAACGGGATGAGTTGGGTCGATCCCATTTTTCCAGTTGTTTGGATGGAGGGATGGGTGGGATGGAATGATTCTAGATGGGAATATTCTCTCCAGATCCGGGATGAAGTGATCCGCCAAAATCGGCCGGACCAATCGATCCCACTTGGATGGAGAGAACGGCGTCACTCGCTCCAGCCACCTCCCGCTCGGTTCTGTCGTGGCGCCGCCCGTACCCTGCCGCCGCTCGTCCCCCAGCGCCGCTCCTCCGCCTGGACGCCGGTCGTCTACCTCGACGTCGGTCGCGCTCCTCCGCCTGGACGCCGGTCGTCTACCTCAACGTCGGTCGCCGCCGCTACTCCGCACGCTGCTCCTCCGCCGAGTCGCCGCCGGTGAAGCTGCGCATGCTCGTGCCCGCTGAATCGCCTATCGGCGACGCTCCTTCGCCCGCTCGCCGAGTCGCCGTCCGCTCGCCGAGTCGCGCCGCCCACTCGCGAAGCTCTGCGTGCTCGCCCCTGCCGAGTCGCTTGCCGGCGCTGCTCCTTCGCCGGCCCGCCGAGTCACCGGCTCCTCTACCTGCTCGCTGCCGTCCTGCTCGTCGAGGCGAGCTCCTTCGTCGGCCTGCTCCTCCGTCCGGGCTCAGCAGCGGCGGATCCGGGGATGGGGAGTGCTGCGGCGGCGGATCCGGAGATGGGGAGGGCTGCGGCGACGGATCCGGCCTCTCCCTCTCCGCCGCGGACCTCGCCGATGCCGTCGTCGCCGAGCCACGGCTGCTCGCAGTGAAGGCCGACACCATTGCCCGCCGCAGATCGGCAGCTCCCTCCTGTCTGGCGGCGCGACGCATCTCGGTGGTGGAGAGGGAGGTGAGGGCAGAGGCGGAGGTGGCCATGGTTATTGCAAACGGCGTCGTCAGTGGTTGCAAACGGTATTCATCCCATTCCTCCCTCGTCCCTTCAACCAAACAAAAAACTGGGATCGTCCTATTCAACAAACCAAACACACAGGTGGAATCGTCCCAACCCCAAAATCAGGAATGGTTTCATCCCATCCCACCTTGTCCTAGAACCAAACACACGCTAGGAGAACGAACGCGTTTCAGACTCTTCGATCCAGTGTTGTTTCCTCCTGTAGAATGTACGACGGTCACAGTAAATACGAATGGATCAACAAGCAAGCGCGTGCCGGCGTGCGTACATGTGTACACCACTTGTGCGAGTCGTAGTACGATTTCTAATAAGTCGCGCAAGTGTACATGCGCCGTGAGAGGATGATGAGATGAGAGGAGGCGAGCGAGGCGACGGGTTGCTTTCGCCGCCCGCGTAAATCGTATGACGCCGTTCACTTTTTATTTAACGTTTGACCATTCGTTTTATTCAAAAAATTTATGTAATTATCATTTATTTTATTATGACTTGATTCGTCATCAAATGTTTTTTAAGCATGACATAAATATTTATATTTACATAAAAATTTTAAATAAAATGAATGGTCAAACGTTGGTCGAAA